GTCCACATAATGCAGAGCAGAATCTGTGTGCACAGAGCAATGGTTGGCAGATTGATATAAGATGCCTCCGTTAGGGGCTGGTGGTCAGCCCTGGGTCCAGTAACCACCGGAAGACATGGCTCTCAGAAGGCTGCCTGGATCTGGTTAGTGAAAGTTCCAGGAGTGAAGCAGCCAGCAATAGGAGCAGCTCCAGTGGCAGCAGCAAACTTCAGCACAGCCCACTGGTCAGTGTTCCAGAGGATATGATGCTGATGTCAGCAAGGTTTTTAATGGCCACAATGGCTCGAGCTGCCAGGAGGAGAGTCTTCCAAGTCTGCTTTAGATTTATGATGTAGATCCCACCACTTTTCCTTTTATAGATATACTGCTCCATCTGGAAACCCAGGTTGGTGCCACCTAAGTGGGTTCCTGCACCAAGGAACTTGAGGACATCCTCCTCCTTCATTTGCAGGATATCAAGGGCTGTGGACATTGTGAAGTTTCCCTTTAAGTTACAATGGGAATCAAGAACAACACTGTGTGCACCCCTGCTTGAGCAGTACAGAAAGGCTTGAAATTCTTATTTAACCAGATGATTTGGGGTCAGCTAATACATGTTATAAACATATTCTATAACTAATTTTCCTTATTTATAAGAGCACTGTTTATGGCCCAGAATTTTTCTATATTCCCTTTCAATTTCTTCATTAATTTAGTTCCAGTCTGTTTCTGCTGGTAATTATGACCTCTGTCTCATCTCTTCCCTGAGCCATATTGTTTCTTTCTGCCAAAGCTGCTCTGATATGTGACACTGTTTTCTGGTCCAATTAAGGAGGACTTTACAGGCTTGGGCTCCACAATCAGTGCTCATTTTGAGCATGAGCCAAGGTAAAGGACTCTGAGACTAATGGTCAGCTATGAATTAGCTGACAGGAATTCAGTACATTGTTGAGTCCATGCAGGAGCCTTTGGAAAATCTTTAGATTGCCAACAAAAATACAGAGTTGCAAAGAACCTCCAGATTGTGGAGGGCTCATCTCCATCCCTTGTGGTTTTTACCATTCTATCTGAACAAAGCTATCCACCACTCTGGAAGAAACCCCCCTTTTGAGAAGAGGATGAAACACATAGGATTTTGGCAAGACCTCTCATTTCCTGATATCATTCTATCATGAATCTTGCCTGCCCCTGATCACTTCTTGCACTCCAAATGAAATCAGGCTCTTCTGATCTTCCTCTGGATAATAACAGATTATTGTCATGCCCGGTTCTCTCCTTCAAGACCATGAGTCTCCTTCCAGTCATGAGGAATATTGATGACTGGTGGATCACAAATGTTACCCTGGAAAGCCCACATGACAGATTTTGTTGTTATACATGTACAACAGATATCTTGACAAAATTTGTGAAGCATCTGGAGGACCAAGCCATCACAGTTTCTAAATCTATATGTGTTAAGCTGAGATCTTTATTGTAAATCCATTGCATGTTATTTTCTTCCTCTTTGATATCCTCTTGCCTCATTTCTTCATAGATCATTCTAAATAAAACCTCTTCAGGAAACTCTCCAACACATACACTTTTCTAAGGAGCCCATTGTAGTATAATTCCAGTGAAAGTAAAGAGCTGTTGACTTGGCAAAGGTGTATTTTTTCATTCTCATCAAGAAAGGAAGTTCAGGGGTAGGGGAGATAACTCAGTGGTCTAAGCACATGCCTGGAAAGTGCAAGGACCTGGGTTTGATCCCCAATACTACATGCTTTACTGGCCTGGGAACCCTGCAATGCAGTGCTAGCCAATGAAACCAGACATAGTGGCACATGCCTGTAATCCTAGCACTGGGGAGATTAAAGCAGGACTATCACTATAGATCTGAGCTGCATAGTGAGGCCCTTTAACAAATAAATAAATAAAAATAAAAATGAAAATTTTTCTTCATAGAACAGATCCAGGGTACTATAAAAGTTGTGTTCAAGAGCTGCATTGATGTCCCTTTAAATTATCTTAAGATATCAGAATGTGCAGATAACATTCTGCACAGTTCATTGAAGATATCATTAAAAAAACCAGAGAATCAATGTAGCAGCTCTGGCCATAATGAAACTTGTGTTTCAGCCTTCCCAGTTCTGGGATTACAGGATGTACCATCATGCCTTATCTTGGGGACTGGCTCAGTGCATCTGGGACAAGGCTGGTACAGCATGTGGCACTGGTATTTGAACCTGGGTCCTTGTGCTTCTCTAGCCAGGCACTTACACTACTGAGCTATCTCTGCATACCTGTACAATCTTCTTGATGTTTTGCTGCATTTTGTTTGCTAGTATTTTATTGAGAGGTTTTACATCTATGTTCATTAGGGAGATTGGCCTGGAGTTCTCTTTTTGATTTTTGTCTTTCTCTAGTTTTGCTATGAGGGTAATATTTGCCCATGGGAATAAGTTAGAAAAAATTTCTTTCCCTTCAATTTCATTGCAGCATATGAGAAAAATTGATTTTAATTCTCTAATTTCCTTGTAAAATTCAGGTGTGAAACCATGAGGACCTGGGCTTTTCTTTGTTGTTAAGTTTTTATTGCACATTCAATTTCACTGGCTGATATTGGGTTATTCAGAATTTTATATCTTCTTGATTCAGCTTTGGTAATTCATATGTATCTAGGAATCTGTCAATTCCTGCCCCCCCCGAATTTTGCATCCTGTGAGAGGAATGATTATTTTAAAATGTATTTTGTATAGGGTCTCACTACATAGATTGGACTTGTAGTGATCTCCCTGTTTTCAGCCTCCCAAGCCCTGGGATTACAGAGGCATTCCACCATACCCAGTCTCATTTGCCCTCTCAGTGTGTCTTGGGGGCAGGGCTGGCACAGAATGCTGGGATGATCTTGTTTTCAGCCTCCTCAGTGTTGGGATTACAGGAATGCACCATCACACTTTGTCTCCATGGCAAGTGTGGTGGTACAGCACACCTGGGAGAGGGGCATGTGGCATATGGTGCCAGGGTTCAAACCAAGTTCCTTGGTCTGGCTAAACAGGCACTTGGTTAGCTGAGCTATCTTTCTGGCCCTGGGACAATTTTAAAGGAGTTGTTGATTATCTTCTGAATTTCTTTATACTCTGTAGTGAAGTCATTTTTGTCATTTCTTATTGCATGAATTAGAGGTTTTTCTTTCCCGTTTTTGATAAAGTTTTCTGGGATTTATCAATTTTATTTATTCTTTCAAAGAGCTAACTCTTCAATTCATTAATTCTTTGTATTGTTTTCTTCCTCTGCATTGCATTAATTTCTGATCTGATCCTTACAATTTCTTATCTTCTTTGAGCTTTGGTCTTGACTTGCTCTTATTTTTCTAGAAGCTTAAGGTGCAGCATAAAGGTTTTTGGGCTTACATTTTTTCCTGATGTGATAATTCACACTATAAGTTTCTGGCTGTGGATTCACTTCATAGTATTAAATTGCTTCTTGTGAGTTGTATCTGCATTTTCATTTGTTTGCTTTTTAAAAAATTTTATTTTTTCTATACTTTTATTGAGAAATAAATAGCAATGAGACAGTTTCAAATCAAATTGGTAGGACAGTTTCAATAATTAACACATTGCATACTGCCTACGTAGTCTTTATTTGTTGTACAATATGCAGACATGATATCCTATTTACAAACACTATTAGAACAAATCCCTCTATTCACTGAATGAAGAGAATGTAGCTTTATATCTATCCTAACCATTTTAAATACACAGATACAAAATGGTCATTCATCTGTATCCCCCTTTTTTGTTTAGTTCTGTCATTTAAATCCTATAGGTGTGTGAATTCATCAAAATATTCCAAAATAGTCCAGTAGTCCATAATAGTATTGGGTCTTCCACTTGACTGACAATGTCTTAAGTTGTTGACCTGAGTCACCTACCACTCAACATAGAAACGTGGCTTTACTTCTTATACTTCATTTTTATAATTTTCTTCTGGATGGTTAAGGCCAAGATAAAGCAAGATGCATATAACAAGGATTGTAGTTTTTGGACATGATAAGGTCAGTCAAATCCCCTCAGGATTTATCCTGATACCCTGTACCTCAGATTGTAGATCCTTTGTCAGTGTCAGGCGTGTGGATGAGTCATGACCATTGCTTGGCCAATTTGCTGAGAGAATGTTTTCTCTCCATGTGACTCTCCTTAGGCACACTCTACATCATCAATCACTTTCCTCTTTGGCCACATAATCTCCTTGTATTTGGGACACAACTGAGTTACATGATTTTACAGTACAAGTTCTCATTTGTCCTGAGTCTTAATTGACCTTGGGAGGCTAGGGCCAAAATGTTGGCTTTCCTTGCGGCCCTCCTTTCCCCCTAATTTTTGGTCTGAAAACTTAAGTTGTTAACCCTCCAGAAGAGAAGCTTAATGATGTTTTTATTCTATAACATGTGCAGTTGAACTTAACCTAACTATCTGTGTGATTATCAAACATCTTAGACATAACATGGAACAGGTATTTTCCATCAAATATTGATATGTTAAACTTTGAGTCCCTCCAAAATATGAAGAAAAAAATTAAAAAGATAAAAAATATTTAAAGACATAATAATAAGCATTTATGTATTTTTACACAGAAATTTAGAAATCTAACAATATACAACCTTGTAGCAGGACAGTCCTGTGACTTTTTTTGTCTCATGTTTTCATTTATTACCTTTTTTTAAAAACAAACATTTACTTGAGAGACAATATGGCTGTAGTTGGTATGTCATGAGAAACAGTACATAATTAGAAGACCAGAATGACAGGTATTCCAAGAATGACCCTACCACTACACATTGCTTTCTTCAGTGCAGTTGCTTAGTTCACAGGTATCAGCATATACAGTCAGGGTGAGAAACCTACCAATTAACTGCTATTTTCAAAAAACATGCTGAAGATTCTCAGTACCATTGCCTTACCCGTTTCATGCATATAAATATATGACTTTGCTCCTGTCATGTTTTCTAGCTTTTTTCCCTGCCTCTCTTCATTAACTAATCCTCAAGTTCTTGCTTTCACATTGAGTTTTTCCTTCCGTTCTTTTTCATTTTTGAACCTCACAATGTTCTCTCTGACACTGCAGTGATGGTAGGAGGGTGGGTCTTGGCTTAGCAAGGCTGTCAGGGAAGTGGGAGAGCTGAGTAGGCTCTCCAAAGCTCCCACTTTGAGGGGCTGAATATGACTTCTTTGTTGTGTGTGGGGGCAATCCTCAGCTCAAGAATTATCTATGATGATGTGTGCAAATTGAGGTTCTGTAAAGCTCTTTTGATGGTGGGTTGGCACAAAGTAGGGCTCACCAAAGCTCTTGTAGGTCCCCATGGCAGTCTTCCAGACATCTAGTTTCAGGTCCATGAAGCATTCTCCCTGGGAAAGGATATGTGGCCAGGATCGGCTGGGTCCCAGAAAATATGAAGTGGGTGGCCATGAAAGGCCCACCAGGTCTTGCGAGCAGTATTACAGGTGAGCATGGACAGCCAGGACTCAGAGCAACTCCAGTGAAGGTGAGGAAAGATGGAGCTAGCCTACCAGGTCTCCCCAGCAGACTTCAGGATGAGGATGGGTCTAATCTGTTTTCTTCTATAGCCTAATTGAGTTGTTTCTTTGCTTTAATTTTTATCATTTCAGAAATTTCAGGTGTGTGACTTGCAAGTTGTTGTGTGTTGATATATTCTTGACTTGCCCTGGGTGGGATGAAGGCCTAAGATTGCATTTTGCTCCACTGTTTTGACAATTTCAAAGATTCTGAGTTTTTCTGAGGCTCAACATTGTTCCCGAAATGGTCAGCTGGTGGGATGCAGAGTCTTTTCCCTCGTAAGTAGCTCTCTGAAGCTCCTGAGGTTCCCCAGGGCTCACTGCTGCTCCTGCCATAGTTGGGTGGGATGAGGAGCAGAGTCTTGGCCCTCCCAAGCAGCTCAGTGAAGCTCCTGAGGTTCAACGTAAGTGTTTCTATAGAAGTAAAAATATTTCTTACTTTCAAAAGAAATAAAATTTCATAATGAGATAGTTGCTGAGTGTCAATGATTAATGTAGTGTGCATCATGGTCTCCAAAGAATGTCTATTTATTACTCAGAGTACAAGTCATAAGGAAAAATGTTTCTTTCTTACAAAGAGGAAACAAATAAAAGGATGAAACTTTTTTGAAAATGAACAAAAAAGCTAGTAGCATAAATGAAACAATTAGTATTTATCTTAAAATATTTTGAAACAATAGAATAATTTGGGGAGTTAGAATTTTTTTACTATTATTTAGTGATCCTTTTCTCTCTTCTGATTACTTTTTCCTTAAAGTTCACTTTGTCTGAAAATAGGATAGCTATTCTTATTGAATTTTGGGCTCCTGTTGCATGGAAAATCGTTTCCTATCTTCTCATTTTCATTTCATATATTTCTTTTAAGATGAGCTATGTCTTTTGCAGACAACAAAATTAGATTTTGTTTCTTAATAAACCTGAGTATTTTGGTAGAGAGTGAAGACTACACACTGCATATCATTGTTGAAGGATATTTCCTGAATGTTTTTACTGTATTGTTTTTCTACAGGGTCTTGCTATTCAGTTCAGGCTGAACTTCAGCTCACTTTGTAGCTCAAGCTGGTCTCAAACTCAAAATGATCTTGCTGCCTCAAGCTCCCATATTCTGGGATTTCACATATGTGCCACCAAACCTGGATCTTTCTTGAATGTTAAGTTATTTCCATTGACTTGGAAATTTTTCTGCTAGGATTTTAGTGAATATTTTTTCTTTTGCCTTTTGTGTTGTGTTCTTAAATTTTCTTAAAAGCTCTTAGGTTGTATGTATATATGTATGTATGTATGTATGTATGTATGCATGTACATATATATGCATGAATATTCTAGTATCTTTGGACCCAGATTTCATGGTACTTTGTTTTTAGGATATCACTGATTATTTGATGTAACCTTGTCTTTCAGTCCTGCTAATTTCCTAAAAGAATTATCATTTCTGCTGCTGATACTTTCAGCAGAAATGTAC